AGAAACTTCATAAGTTTATGTGTAGGGGGGGGGGTCGTACCAAAGCCCCCCGAAAAAAAAGGGGGGGGGGTCGTACGGGCTTCACCAAAATCCCCAACCAATGATGTGCCCTGGTCATGAATTACACACCTTGCTCTTGGAAATGTTCAAAGCCGTTCACGGCGTTCACGGATAGAGACAGGTTTACAACCCAAAAATTGAAAACATAAAAAAACCAACTTGGAGGGTTTTATCCGTACCCGATCCAGAAGCATTGACAATTAGATAGCAAACAAGCTGCCTACTCGTATCCAACACGGTTTGGAAAAGCAGCGCTAACGCTTGGAGACCCATCTTGTTTTCCGACTTCTGAAAAGCACTCTAGAATTTCGCCCTGTATGTGCGGCCCGCACAGAACATATGAATGTATCTTAACAAATAGTTGCTTGACCTATTAGGTCATCCCATTCAAAAGTGCTGAGACATATAGAGGAATGGCAGAAAAGCAAAGGGATAGGGCAGCGGGCTACTATACCATTTGGAGGCTAGTACCTTCAGCTGTGTATCTGTGAAATTTGGCGAACCTTCCCACAGAAGTTCTCGAGAATGAAAAGAAGCTTGAGTGATGAAAATCAGCGCCGGATTTCCAAATTAGGCCATAAGAGGGAAGTGCGCTGCTCAAATTTGACCGGCGCAGGACCAGTTGTTGTGTATAATGGTGTTCTCAAAATACAAGGTAAATGTTTTGGTTCAGGAGGCCGAAGAAGGAAGAAAGGAAGAAATTAGTTGTCGTGGACAGTCCCATAATGTTCATCCTGCACAAGAGAAAAATTTGGATAAAGTCAAGCGCTGAGTGTCTGATCAGAGAAACTGGACCTATGTCGAGCTTCCCCGCCAGACTGACATCCCTGCTGCAACTGCTGCCCGAGTTATGTCCGATAACTGAAAATGGTCAAGAGGGTGTGCGCATGGGTACCCAATTTTCTTGTAGAAGCACGAACGGAGTGCCGATTCTATGCCTGTAGCAGTAATGTTCTCCGCATAAGATGTCATTCGCGACTATGAAAATGCACTTCGGCCGTAGATGAAATATGGATGGTCTTGGACTCTTGGACCTCGAGCAAAAACTCACAAGCGTCAATTTTGTATGAATGCAGATGAGAAGCTGCCCGAGTTCTACCATGAGGAGTTACGTGGGCCAAGTGGATGATCATCATAGCGAAGGATTCCCACACTGTGGCTTCCAGGCAGCTCTATACAGAGAGTAAAATCGTCGCTATTGGTGTATGTTGCCGGTTCCTCGGCAATCAGATCAACAAATGGATGATACCACACAACTCAAGAAGGCCATCGTTGCTCGCCATAGTGCCAGATGAGTAACTGTGGTGTAGGGCAGTGCTAAGACACAAACAATACCGAGACTTGGGTACAATCGCCTCATGCGCCCAACAGAAAGCCGTGCGAGTGCAAATGTTCTGGTCAGTCGGGAGAACACTCCGACGGCAAAAGCTACAATGTTTTGCCATTCGCCGAAATTGGCATCAACCGCAATTTTCGCACTTGTTGAAAAATCGAAGGTACCACAGGTCCAAAGGTTTTGGGGCACTGGAAGCGGGCCATTGGTGGGGGAGGGATTTATTCATTGAAGCCAAAATATTACTTTTTTATCTATTCTCCTCTTTGTTTTATTCGAATAAAACCGTCAGCACTTTTAAATGGGACGACCCAATATGACATCGGTCCCTCTCGGTTCCCAGGTAACGATTCACTATTTGACTCGAAGGCATAAGGCACGATAATTTGGTATTCTGTCTAAAATGTTAGCAGGGGTACTTGATAATGGGAGAATTGCGAAAAAGCGAGATGGAACGGCGAAAAATCTGCAGATAGCCTTTTTCTTACGCGACTCGGAAAGCAATTTCGGACGAGTTTCCCGTTGGATCGTGCAAATAACCACTACGGCAGTCCCGGCTGCAGGTTGTACTCATATATCTATGCAGCATTGCAGCCACTTCATATCAAGCCTATCAGCTTCATACTGTACTTCGCAAATGAAACTATATGAACATCAGCATTGCTTGGAAATTTGTGAGCGGGCGGGGCGGTGGGCATCCGAGTTGGTATGTCGCAGCTTGATATGGCTGTAGGGTTAACAGCGCTGGCCTTGCAGCATCTGCTCAGAGGCACAGAATTCTGTCCTGCTTGGCGTATTTATCCTACACGCCTTATTGTGCCACTTGCAATCAAAATCGCCACTTCACTGAGATTCTCCGACTTCAACGCTGCTTGAAACAGTGCAATTCTACAGCGATACCTACCAATTCTATGACGTTTCGTATGTGTAGAAATAAATATCCGAGAATATAGTACTGCATGGTTGGGATTTGTCGTAACATTTTGATCATCTGAATGATTTGCATTTCAGCCTTTAGTTAAACAACGGTTTCAATAAAAGGTTGACGAAAACGAAATAAAGGTACAACTAATACCTTACAACGAATCGCACATTGACAGGGATACCTATAATCACATGGGCATTCCTTCACCGTCGATTCAAAGTCACCGGACAGGAGTGGCTCAGGAAGTTGCCGCAGGAACCTAATTCAAGGAATGTCAAGGTCAACAATGACTAGTTAACTAATACTTTATAGCATTGTGTTGTCCCAATACTCTTGTCCGATTTTGTTTGAATCTAAACTCTTCTATTCCAGCTCGGGTTCATCCCCGAACGCGTGTGTTATGTTAGAGAGTGGTGCTGAGCCTTTAAAAGGAGTTCTGCAAGCTAAGCACGCATTGTACTAGACTTAACCCGAACTGATCGAAACTTTTTACACTGAATTACCATAAGTCTCGAAGATAAGTGTGTCTTTAACACAGGGGCGTTCTTTTCGGCTATTCGTACAGTCCTGTGAGCGGACGTGCACAATTTCTGCCATTTTTGCGATTTTTATGTTACTAACAATGGTTCACACAAGTAGCACATCAATACGAAGAGAAATGAGTAAAAATATGCCAAAAACAACGTGAGTTTTGGGCGAAATGGCCTCCGCCTCGATGCTGTTAATAAGCCTGCGCGGCGCCGCGATAGCCATGCTTGTGAACAACCTATGTAGGTTGAAACTGACAATTAGTTCTGAAAATTTCATTCCGAAATCACGTGTGGTCATAGCAAGAAACAGAAAAACAGAAACATTACATGACCGAAAAGCTGCTTAAAGATAACGCAGATTTAAAGCTGACCACAAAAAGAAAACATCCCATGTGAAGCCAAAGGTCAAAAAGGAATTATGCCTAAACGAGCTTGTATCCAGTAAAAGGTGAGAAAATCGCTTTTGCAAGCTTAATGATAACTTTCACCCACTATATATAATTTGCTTCGTCTGTTTGTTTGTCCGGAAATTCGGTTCGACCTGGAGAACAACTTGAAGAGGTCGGTCAAGGTGGAGTTGGGTAGGGCATGTTACAAGATGTAAAGGACACACATGTCCCATGTTGAGCCCCACCCACAGTGGGCGGGGCATGCGCCGAAAGTTGGCGGCACCGCAGAGAAAACTCATAGCTCGTTTCCAAAGCAGCCCAGAGATGGGGGAAAAAGTGGAATAAGGTTAGAAGGGGTTGCCAGACTAAATGGGGGAAGCACACCCGGAGTGGCGGTGCGTACTCAGATGGCGGTGCTCCCACAAATCCGGTAACCCTGCTTTTCCGCAGAGTTTTAGAAACCGCCACAAAAGTCGATACAAGAAACGGCACATCAGCGCGAGAGTTGGGGCGTACCTAAGGTGGTGTGAGACAGCGTTGCCCTTGACAAGGTGGTGCTTGACTTCACATTTCAAATGCGACTCGCCACGATCTAAAAAAAGCCGGACGGGAACAAAGTAACACATCCGATGCTGGCATTTGTAGGTAGTAGCTTTGACAAGTACTTGGCCAGAGCAGGTTTGAAATAACTACAAACCACCTCAAAAACAACATCTTAAATTTCTTAAATCGTCGGACTCCCTTACTGGTGCGAACGAAGCGGTCAATCACTACATAGTCAATCACTACATATGTCCTACATAGTCAATCACTGCCTATATTCATCAAATTGACCCTATTGCTGATTATACCGCTGACTTAAAGACAAGTATCCGCGCTCGAGAGGCCTTCAAAAATAACTTCCCGCCTTCTGGACCCGTCTGCGCCTTGATGAAGATGATCCCGCTTTTATACAATCAAGTGGCGCGCGATGAGGAAGTTATCTGCAATTTCGAAAGGCGTCGCTAGGCATCACGAAGACGCTACGCTGGCGGACGAGGGCGTCTGGCCCGAACTGCTCCGTCCCTTTAGCATGTTGCCAAAGTTGCGCTCATAGCTCAAGCTAAGGTCTTACTTCGGTCAGGCTTTTGTAAAATGTGTGAAAGTGCCGGAACCATTAGAGTTTTTTTTGCTTATGGAATGTTAGGTGCTTTTGCTTTTCGCCAATGGTAGGGAGACTTGTGTCTGTCAAGTGGGGTTTGTTGCTCATTTTCTTCTTTTTTCTTTTTTATTCTTGTCCAGTTCTCTGAAGAAACTCCAGCAACCTTCCCAATTTTCTCTCGTAAGTCAACTCTAATCATCCATCGTCTGGAAATTGCAAGTACTCTTGCGAACAGCGCTGTGCCGCCGCTGTGCCACTGCAGCGCGACGCTGTAGCGCTACGAGTCATGAAACGCTGCCTACGTTCAAAAGTATACCTATTTCGAAAGTTGGGACGCAATTGCGGCTGCCGCATCGATTCTGGCAGCCACGCCCGGCACACTCGTCCAGGCCCCGCCCCCACTGCTAAAGGTAGGTTTGGGTTCAAGGTGTTCCCGAAGATTTTTCTGCTTCTTTTTCTACTGAGAAGCTAACTATGGAATACTGGTGCATGACAGAGTACAATTGCCCGCAATACTTGATCGCGATAATTGTCTTTAATATTTATGAAAGAAGAAACTAAACTGAATAAAACAATCGGAAATCGTAAAAACCATGGGACAATTTAATGGAATTAGAACAAACCTCTTAATGAGACCAGCTGCCTCATGCGCCTCCACAAAATTCAACGAAGCACCTTCATTGACCTTCCTTTCAAGTTCATCAAGGCGCGTTTTTGGGCATGACACACGATAGATCCCTTCCAGTGTAAGACCTGAACAACCACTCTTAAAAGGACAGTTCAAAAGTACGGCCCAGCCCAACCACCGAGAGTGATACTACTTTGGAAAAGGCACAGGCTACTTTCATGAAGGCTACATTAAGTGAGATTAAATTATGGGATTTTCCACCGGTCTCCCCATTCGAAATGGCGTAGGTCTAGATTTAAATAAAAATAATGTCAAGAATTTGCAGGGTGCTTCGGCACGTGGCCGCAGAACATTTGATCTCTGAGAGATGTGAACTTGCTCAGTGATATCAGAGGTTTACGAAACATACTGCGGCAAAACACGGCATACTGGGAGTGGAGATTATTCAGTTAGCAAGTAGAACGCTTACCACAGGTGAGATTTAGCCTGCCACCCACCGAAAACGGTAATTTCGTACCAAATTCGCCTGGGAGGAGAAGAACATTGACTCGTTCGTTGGACCGACATGCAAGTTATTGTATAGGCCACATATGTGTAGGCCATATCGCATTCTGTTAGCCACTACGATTTTGAATGGATGCAGAAAATGTGCCGCATCGCAAAAATGGACTGCTTAACGGAGAAGTGTTTATTTTTCATACTTTTACCGGGATAAAAAAAAGTTGAAAAAAGGAAAAAAATTACGTATTGAAGAGCTGAAGAACGGTCAAGGTGTAAAGAGTGGGAGAGAAATTGATGGGAGGCATGCAAAAGAAATTATGATCGTACCGTGGGTTTCAACGTAGTCAATCGAATGCCGAAAGAAAGCCGGCACAGGCACGCCATCCAAAGACGGATCTACATCAACGGCCATTTCGAGAGGCACGCCTAGCACCTGACGTAGAGGCTGAAATAATGGAAACCAAAAATCGTAGATTTATGAACTCATGAACTATGACAACTTTGCACTCTTGTCAAAAAACCGAACTGTTTCACATATGCATACACATCTTAAGAACTGCAGAGGAGCAGCCTTCAAAGCTAGATGTAAACCTTATACAAGCCTTCGTATTTCTCGAAATCTTCGTATCGAACTAGGCCAGGCGAGAAAGGCACGTCGTACGTTGGGGTCTCCAGCGAGGGCAGTCGTACTGAACGGAGGCGGGTCGTAATTGGTCGCTACAGGGAAGGGCGTTGCAACAGACTTGATAAAGATATTTTCGGCCGTTAACCTTTCTCAATTTCGTTCTGAGTCCGCTTCAAACCCATTTTCGCTTAACGGCAGTTTTATTTTTCTTGAAGAAAAGCGGAAAAAAGCGGAGCTCAGCAATGAGGTATGAGCTTGGGAAGGGATATGGTAGATGGGTGAGGAGTAGAGAAAAACAGATCGCTCTAGAGGGGAAATTCTGAGAGGAATCGTATTTTGTAAAAAAAATTCCAATGGCTGGAATTGCCTTGATCCTGGATCAAAATAACAGACTTATCATTTTTTCTTCGCTCTGCTATACAATTTGACCGTTGTATTGAACTACAGCCACATGTTGGTCGTGACCCAGTGGCGCACCCGGTTGGTGAACGGGTGTTAGGAAACAACCGGCTGCACTACTGGGTCACGGTGGGTTGGTGACAGGTGGCTGCGACCTTACTTCACCAGCTTTTTATTAGAACGCAGGCTCGCAGCTTCCAAAACCATTTCATGAAGCAATATCTATACCGATTTTGCTTCTGGCTTTTATTAACTACTAAAAATATCAAAATTCCCTCTTTACTTTGTAGCGTTCAGGTCAACTTCTTGCTCCATTTTGAAAATGTCGGGGCTAAATGGCTGCCTGCCGGTGCCCTCAGATTTGGGCTACAATCAATGACATGTCTAGGGAAGGATTTTTGCCTCTAACTGCAGGGACGAAGCAGTAACAAAGTGGAAGTTGCATAGGAAATGACAAGATGAAGCTTTGAAGACGCAAGTGTAGCTGCGGCTGAATGGGAATTAAAAGAGAATGGACCATTGAGAGAAGCTTTTTCGCGTTAATTAAGCCTTGAATTGATGGAGTAATCACGTGGGAAAGTGGTATTATCTAACATGGCTAAAAGTTAGGCTTTGATGTCAAGCCAACCTTATGATGACAGTGTGGTGCGATACTCGTCAGCATTGATACATGACCACCCCATTCTGAAGTTTCGTCAGCTTCCACCATTCCCTCTCCCCTCCCACTCCCTTTTTCAGAAATTCACCTCTATGAGTGGTATGACCTCTGGACGCGATTATTACAGCGGTTTAAGGCAAAAATGATCTCGCAGATAATTAGTTACACTCGGATTAGCTAATAATTCGCTAGGATTGGTCATGAGCGTCCAGGTTCCAGGTAACGTCAATTAAGACGCCTCACAGAAACAGATTTGTCTCCGTTGATTCGCGGTGATAGAAACGAAACAAATAAAAGCATCATAATGAAGTACCTCAACTTCCCGGAATGTATCCTGCTTATCACACCTATCGGAGTCATCCAATTTTTTCCATTTACCTAGCATTTTCCTCGACGATTTGCGTGACACTCTTAAACGCAAAAATTTCGTTTTTCTAAAATAAACACTCAAGACAAAATTGAAACCTACAATCGGAGGCCCTTCCGTTTCTTCTCTTTCCCTAACTCCTCCACCATTCCACAAGAAATTCTCAAGCAAATCTGTTTTAAAACCTTATAGTTTATAAGTACCATTCACTTCAATTTACAGCACAAGGTTGAGAAGAGCAGGTAATGCGAATCCAACCAATTACCATACATCACACAAAAAGTACGAAGCTTTATTAAGGTTATACAATAGACAACCAATCGACCGATACTTTTCAAGAAATAGCATCACCAGTTCTAGCTCGTTTGCCTAGTTTCCACGCCCTCTCATTCAAATTCTTTTAGCCTCGGGGACCTCACCTCGCCAGCGATATTCGGTGAACAGGACAGATGGGTACCAGAAGATCATCAGAAGAATGACGACGAAGTTGGTTTACGCCTCTGTGGGAAAAGGAAGGGAGGCAAAGTCTGAACAGCCGCTTAGAAACTAAAGCAGAGTCAAACTGAGGGGTGGGGGAGGGAGGGAATCGAACACTTCTCTCATGTAACAAGAAGCACATGAACGATACGTGTGGGATAAGGCGCCTACTGCGCAGTCAGTGGGGATGCACTGAAAAATTTCTGAAGAGAACTGACATCAACAAAAGCATCGACAAAAGTCGGCTAAATGGCAATAAATGAGGAACTGGCATTCGTTTCAGAACTTAATGAAAGAGGTTTTCTCATGTCATTGTTGAAATGTTACCCAAAGAAACTGAAATGCGCAGGACTTCAAGCTGAGGAACATTCTAATGGAACTGTTTTTAGCATTAAACAACACGAGATAAGTCAAAAAACTAGTACAACAGGACTTCCATCAAGGTATTATAATCTGAATGTTTTACTGACTAGCGAAGAGGAACAAAAAGATCACCGTTTTCTGTTCAAGAGCTCCAAAAGGACAGGAGAATAAGAGCTCGTGATATCTTGTCAGCGATATCAGATAAGTGGTGTGGGAGCATGTCAAAAAACCAGGTCAAAAGACTGCAAGACTGCATGTTCAAGGTAGGTTTGAGGCGAAGATACTTTCAGCATAGTATTATTCTTTTAAGGCGGAACGGATAAACTCAAATAGTACAGCAATGCTTTAACGCATAATTAAACAAGACAAGAAGGGCAAGGATTATCTTGTTTCTCTGTACTGAATAACATGAGCTCATAACTTTTCGAGAAAAAGGAAACACCACAGGGCCTCAAGAGGATGGCTAGGTTCCGTAGTAGAAAAACAATTTCAAGATAATACAAAGCTAGCAGTCATATGGAAAAGATTTTTTTTATAAAAGTATCACTCAACGCGAGAGATTACCAATATCACCACTTGAGAAGAGTAACCGCTTAGAAATGCTCCATAAGAGCTAGCGCTTTTCGAAGGTTCTCGACAACTGCGCGTGTATCTTCGTAGTCCATGGCACTCAAAGCGTACTTGGCGAACTTACGAGCTTCATTGAATGCTTCCACGGATGGCTTGCGCTCTCCACCTTCTGAAAATGAGAACTAGGATCACCGGAATATTGAGGATATTAATTCGTAGCAGTCTTCGAGAATGAGACCGACACTTCTTTGTGTGCCGCTACGTCAATTTATCTTTTCTATTAATTAGGTAGTCGCATAAGTTCTTATACACGTGTTTGATCCTCTCCTATTTCGTTCGCATGGATGTTGGTATTACGTCATCACGTGTGCGTGACATGTACATTATACTCCTTCATTGCACTAGCTATCACTCACCGAGCTTGCATTTGCAGTACACAATGTCGCACAATTTGCATTGTGACAAAACGTACCTGCGCCACTGTTTGGTTTTGCTCCACGATTTCGGCTGGAACGCAAAGGAAACCATTCCAAGCTGGTGGATACATACGGTGAAGACGTCATCTCGTTACATGACATGCAAGAATTGGTTCGCCAAATTCAAGCAGGAGACTTTTCTCTCGAAGACGCTCCGAGGTCGGGTCGTCCGATGGAGTTGGATTTGGGAGTACTACGTTCCAGCTGTGGAGGAGGACCCGTACTCACCACCAGAGAAATGGCGACCATGCTTAGCTATGATCATTCGACGGTTGCACGTGGACTAGAAAAGCTCGGCAAAGGTAGCAAGCTTGGTCGATGGGTCCACATGAACTGTCACACGAAACACGCTTATGAACTCCTCGAGGAGGGTGACACCTGCACTTCTCTCCTCACTTTCAAAAAGCGACTTCACTTTCTCAACTCGATGATTCACTGGGAGATGAGAAGTGGGTCCTCTCGATAACCCGCGTGAGGAAGCGGCAGTGGGTCGACAAAGGAGAACAGCCAGAAGCCACCCAAAGGCCGATCTTCACCCCAAAAAAAGTTCTCCTGTCCTCTGGTGGTCCAGAAGAGGCAGTACTGGGAGCTGCTAGAGAAGAGACAGACGATTGACGCTCTTCCACAAACGTGACCACGAGCAGCTGCGGAAATTGAAAGATCACGTCGACCGTACTCGTGAAGGAATGCGGAAATCTACTTCCACCATGACAACACCCGACCTCACACTGCTAAAGTCTAATTCCGGCCGAGCTGGAGAAGTATGGATCGCTGATGTTCGCCCACCCTCCCTACAGCCCTGACCTCGCTCCTTCTGACTACTGGCCGTTCAGCCACCTGCAGCGCTATCTGGATGGAAAAAAGTTTGAAACAAAGGATCAGGTCAGAAAGGCGCTCGACGACTTCTTCAAGTCCCAGCCTCCGTCGTTCTAGAAGGATGGAATCGACAAGCTGTCTGAGCGCTGGCTCGAGTAGTGAATGGTGATGGTGCATACCTCTAATCTCCAGGCTGGTTCGTTTTTGAGATATTTACAAAAAAGTCGTGTATAAGAACTTATGCAACAACCTAATAGTTCTAATATAGTTCAGCTCATTCTCCTACCCATCGACATCTATTCACATGAGTTGTAGGATAGTTAGTGAATTGTACTCATTAGATTAAATCATAGTTCGGCAGTGTTCCCCCCACTGCAAGCAGTTAGTGCAGCATAATCCCTGCAGCTGATAGGGCATAGGACAGGGACATACGCAGCTCGGGCAGATTTCCCATCAACTGAGGCAGGCCCACCATGGCATGATTGTTGGAACAAGGTCGTCCTGGCTACGCTCAGCCATGCCCCGTCAGAGGCCATATCGTTTGCAGGAGGCATGACTGCTCGCATGTTTAGATACCAGCATAGGGACAAACATAATTAAACTTCTTACACGGGTATAAACAAAACGCACCAATATTCAGACCACTTATTTCAGGCACTAATGTATTCACAGGCGTCGGATTGCTGTAACTGTGCTGAGGTATCGCGGGAATTGAAGGTGCTTGAGCATTCGGCCCTCCTGGAATGAATATCACATTCTTGAACAAAGTTTGTTACTGTGTTCACGAGAAGGAATTCGAATGACGAACCTGGCACGTTTGGAAGCCCAAAATTAGATGGAGTTTGTGATGACTGAACACCACCAAATGGTCCTCCACCATAATTAGCTGCTCCTGCTTGCGGATAATAAGTTCCACCAGCAGATGTTGAGCCTTCGTCTGGATATTTGTGTTCTGTCGGAGCGGGTACGCCTCCTGAAGAATCATAAACTGTGACCGCAAAATTGCCTTGAATGTTTGAACTTTCGGTTGAATATACAATGAAGTTTGGTGAGCAGCACTGACATCAAAAGCTTGACAGATGTAAAAGTATACTTGTAACACGATCTCATCACCTTCATCAGGCGGATTGCTCGGAATGTAGGGCTTCCCTTCCTTGAGACAAGAAAAAATTTGAGTACTTTTCCATTTGGCATACTTCTTCGAACTTAGAAAAGGTTCATCCACCTAGCAAAAAATATCTCGAATAAACATATGCAAAACATCAAGATCAAATACAAAACAATGGCAAGCAAATATACGATACTACGATATGTCGAGAGATGGGTTTCGGTTTCAAATCGGTTGGTTATACAAGTTACAAATCTCCTGTCTACACGGCCATTCCCATTTTTCAACGTTCCCTTCGCCATTCTATTTCAAGACTATTGGTTGGCGCATTTGCTTTCGTTTCATTACTGTGTTTTGCATTATGGTGTGATATGTAATGGTTGATCTGTAAAAAGAAGAAAGAAAGATCGAAACATACTGAGTAAAGGTTTTAGAAAATGCATTCTCCATCCCATCCTATTGTTATAAGAAAAGATTTAAAGATTGAAGGTATGGGAGCTAACAGTAGTTCCATGTCTCAGAACCTTGCACGTTACAGTTCGTTTTATTACAGAGTCATGGGCCTTCAAACATAAGGAAACATCCTAGGTCGCTAACATAAAATATAGGCATCCCCTCGCCTGCTGATGACCTCAATACGTTTAGAAAAAGACTACAAAAACTTCATTTGGGCTCTCTGGCAGGCTGCTGACAAATACGCCCTGACGTACCGCGCGAGAATGCTTAAATCGTAGCGAGGAAAGGTCAGCGGTAATAAAACGGACTTCCGGGCAACAGATGGGATTAACTTTTTTCTGCACTTTTCGCTTGCCCGAGAGCCTGCTTTAAGTGTATTTGTCAAAAGTTTTCCAGCAATTCCCACAGCCATTGTGGTGTTACTGCCTGTAATATCTTAACGAGGAGAAGCGCAAATAACCAAATGCTTCTTCTGCATACCAACGCAATTCCATGGAAGTTGCTACTATAAAAAGTCGACTTCCGCTAGTTCTGATGGACCACGTCAATCCTTATTTTTGACATTAATTACAAGTATAAGGAAGACGCTGCAATGTTCTTGTTCTATTTTATTACCCCACTAACCGTTTGACCTCGAGCTGATATGCAGCAGAAGTATGCAGTTATGTTCAAAACCAACTATATTCTTCCCTGTAGACTGCAATTGAGTACTTACCTCACCGAACAGCGAAAGCACGTCCATAATATGACCAGCAGTGTAGAAGGCATGCACTACACTTTTGTCGACCTGACCTGCTTTTTCTCGGACATCAGCGAAGTTAAAAAGCTTCAGAGCGAAATTTTCGAGATGCGCTTGTGCTACAACCTTGAAATAGTTCTAGTTTACATTAATCTACCACATCCCAACACAATGAGAACAAACCTCATTAGTTATCGCCTCGTTACCAACTAACTGTTTCTTGATAGTTTCCAACGTACTGAGCAAACCGGTTAAGAACTTAAGCGCTTCTGGAGAACTTTTATCCAAGTGCATCGCGTTTTGCACAGCGTAGAAAAGACCTGAGATGGATGCTGATGTCCTTGTGATAACAAGCTCTTTTCTGAAGCTCAACTCACACCAGTAATACACGACTGGATCACGGCTTGAATTCTCGTTAGCGATTTTGATGTAATGAGCAATCGGCTTCAGAGATGCTGGTACATTTGCAGCCATTCTGATCAAATCTGGCTGGAGGATGGGTTTTAACACGATTTACACTACAATAGAGACTCTCCGCATGAACCGGAAAGTTGAAACAAGATACGTAACAGCTGAGCGATACTTGAGGTGAACTTTAGATTCTCCGAAAGCATCCCTCGTTGAAAATGTTCCCCCGTACAAGGATGCTCGGCACTATTGAACCATTCCTACCCCAAAAAGCTCAAAAAATTTTTTTCGCTGAAGCGTTGCCTACAGATGTAGTTCGATGCCCTGATCACGAATATCAGATCCGTTTCGAGCGCTGGCGTCATCTGGTGCCATTATGCGTCAATTTGGCGCCCACCGCTTTTTTCACCAAAGTCGATGAAAACTTGCATATACCGACATCGCGATTACGAATATCACACTGGCTTTGAGCGCTGGTGCCATTTGGCGCCATTGTTCGTTAATATGGCGCCAAATGGCGCCGGCGCCAAAAATAAATGTTGGATTCGTAATCAGGACCTCAATTAACCCCAATATGCGAGTTTTCATCGACTTTAGTGAAAAAAGTGGTGGGCACCAAATTGGCCCATAATGGCGCCAAATGACGCCAGCGCTCGAAACGAATGTGATATTCGTGATCAGGGCATCGAATTACACCTATAAGCAAAGTTTCAGCGAAAAAAAGTTTTTTGAGTTTTTGGGGTAGGGATAGTTCAATAGTGCCGGATGCTTTTGTTGGAGTGTCTCATCAAGTGTGGAGAAAACCACTCAAGTGAGAGCTGTGGCATGAGTCATCAAGGGTTCACAACCAATTGAGTTAGTTCTGATAGTTGATTAATGATCCCACCCTTGACGGACTTTGGACAATATAGTCTACTATTTTTATTTTCAATGATTTTCTTTGGAGGAGGCGGTCGCATTTTGGAACATGGCCCTCAATCCGCCAGGCCGTGCCCCTTCACAACCCGTCCACTGTGAGGACAACTCTAACAGACCTATGGGAACTCTTAACAGTTGAAGAAATACCTACCCTAGATAACTCTAACAGAAAAGCAAACTCGCAAGAGGAAGCACTAACGTTTCAGATGAAATTCTACCTTGAGAAAAAAAGCATATTATGCAAAAAGGCACGAAAAGTAACGGCAATGCGAAACGAGAATCGAAACGAGAATGACTCATCAATGAAGTGACCGCAATAACTGCCGAACAAACGATTTCAAACACAAGAAAGTCAGCTAGTAGCATAAATCTCTTTATAAACTGGATCATGTATCACATTTCCTATCACAACAGAATATCTTTTGAAAAAACCCAATAGAAGAAGTTTCACATTCACATCATATACGCACTCCCAGGCACTACCAAGTATTAGATACAGTTCAATAACAAAATAACTTGAAAGGGACTGATTACGAAATAGAACGTTTGAATTATGCCGGCAACAACTATTTTAGCATTATATGAAACCAACCAAATGCTGCCAGTTTCACTGTCGTTTTTTACAAAGATACAACTCGAAAGAAACTTCCGAGAACAAGGCAGCCCGTCAGAAAACTTAGTAATATAGCAGAAGTAATTATCCCCTGTTATCAGAAGTATCATGAAAGCGAAGATATGGAGAAGATGGACTCAGGATTTCGGCAAAGCGCCTCCATTGTTGCCACCTGGCAGTGTTCCAGTCGCATCATGCATCTCTGGCGTGTATGTCAGAACAATGAAGAACACCCAAAGATGTAGCAGTACAAAATAAATTGCTACGAAAATACGAGCCATTGGATAATTTCGCAACACAGAGATCACTCTGAACATAACCGTGTCGACAACCGTAACAGCTTGTTTTGCAGCTGGGTGATGAACTGGTAGTGAAGTTGAAGGAGGATCAATTGGTATGACAGTTTCCCGTGTCGACTTCTGAACAGGAAGTAAGATTATTCCAATAAGACCAAGAAATTCGAACAAATCATGCCACACAACTACCTTTTTTACTTCGAATGGCTAACTGTGACTAACTGTGAATATACAGTCCGTCAAGGCACCACCGGATTCGAAAATAGTGAGTTGTGCGGCTTCACTACTGACTGCAAGGTAGTAAGTGACATATTGGTGAAGAAGAAAAAAGCAGAAAGAACCCGCCGGAATCGCCCTGTGTAGAACCCCATGCCGAACCGTGCTTGTACGTGCATGAGATGAAGAATGAGCGTGGCCGAACCAGTATTCGCTTGTTGGTGCCATCTTTTCTCTTTCTCTTCTCTCTCTCTCTCTCTCCTCTCTCTCTCTATGCTATCTATCTATTTATCTTTATTCTATCTATCTATCTCTAATCTCTCTCTCTCTCTCCATATCACTACTGGAAAAGAACGAGCTAGTGACGGAATTATAAATACTGTAAGGAAATGTTTAGAATTAAAACTTGGGCGTCGCCGTGGTCAATGGGCGGGCCGTGTTGCTGTCACGAGCGGGCGACCTTTCCTAACGTACTTTTGAGCTGTTATTTTAGTGCCTCCACCCGTGTGGGAACGATTATAATGTCCAGAGGAAGAAATGGACCTGCCTCAAGAATGGCAAATACGCGGTGACGGTGAAAGGACTGTTAAAAAACTCTCATAAAAGATCTAAGATGGTCGCAGTAGGCACATTAATTTGACTTTTCGACATAGCTGCTACGCGGAAAGGACCTTCTGTCGAGATGACGCAAAGGAGTATTGTTGCTTTGGCCTTAAGATGCTTCAGGAATTGTGGCAGAGCAATAAGGCATTGCTAGGGCAAAGCGTCTCATGTATGTCATGAAAGTAAAAAGAATGATGCCGCGCTCAATTCCAGATCAGTTGTGGTCAATCCTGGTACTGGAGCATGGAACGTACCAGCACAGTATTATACATTGCCACCACCAACATTGCGAGTTTATTCTGAGGCTTACTTGCAACTTTTCGAGACGAATTGAAAGCATTTGGTTCCTGCGAAGGGCCTCTTCCAGCTCAATTTGTTTTTGTAGAAGGCGCTCGCCTAACGACAATCCATCAACACTGCGGGCATCTTCTTCACGTCTCCTAAACAGAACAGAGATAAAAAGAGAACAAAAAATGTTTATGAGGAAAAGTTAAAGAAATCCCGCTAACTGCAAACGCGTCAACCTACTGCCAATGTATTCTGTCAATATATTAGGTGCTGGCATGACTAGTGTAGTTTTTTGCCACAAGGTTCAACGAGCAAAATTTTCGTGCAGTACGTCAGATCTGATAAGATGTCCGCCAAATAAGTTGGTAGTATCTAATCTCCATCCAAAGAGAGGACACCCCGCGCTCTTCTAATTCTGTGTAGTAGAGCCAAAAACTTAAGGCAAGCCGGGGTGGTTGTCACTTGGGGACCGGAACTCTAAAAAGTTTAACATGGAGGTAGACCTCTTCAGTCTAATGGTTGACCTGAAAAGTAAAATAAGGCCAGGCATGTTTCTGAACATTTGCAACTCACAAATTCTGGTACCTAGTTCGGCGTCAGTAAGAATGGAGTGCAGCGGGAGGCGGGCGAAACTAGGTGCGCTCATTCCTTGCTCGCCTGGGCTCTATAAGACTGAGGTTCTCTTTCCAACAGCCAAGTGAAATCGCTTGGAGAACAGTACTTGAGTGGGAGGCTCTAACAAACGATAAGAGCTCTGATCCAGTTTCGTTGGCGTAAGGCAGAGATTCAGATAAGCTCACCTGGCTCGCTGATCTTCCACATTTTTCCTGAGTTCTGCCTCCTGCGACTCAAGTTTCTTCGCGAAATCTTCATTCTGCCTCTTCATCTCTTGTTTTGCAAACTCACTTTCAATTCTGCAAAGAAATGGCTTTTTGAAGGTAAGACAGGTAAGCAATTCCCACCTTGCTAAAACATTACAGAAGGTATGACCTTGCCAATTCTCAATATTAAAGTTTGGATATGTGAAGGGGCAGAGAACACCCATGGCATAAGAAAAAAGCCTCGTGCAATGTACTGTGGCCTTCAAGTCGAACTAGAGACTCTAGAGCTTGAAAAAAGGGGAACTTTACTCCGTAACCCTTTTTAAAAGTCTTCATCACCACCGTCCCAAACCCGGTAGGATATTTACAGAGAGAGAAACAGTTACGAGAGGTAGCCCGAGAAAGTAGTATTTCTTCGTGAATAGAACCTTTTCAGAAGTTTTCAGTTTTGTTCGACTAGGAGTACCTACCAACAAGCTTAGAAATTTCGGAAATGCTCTAGATAGACATCTCACATTGCAACGGCCTTCTCTTGATGTTCATATATTTTTGGGATAGAAGCCTTACATTAATTGTCCGTTCGCCTTCGTTACTTATGGATTGTTAATTGTAACTGCTGTATTAGTTTTATGCAATCATTAAGTACCACAGTTTCTCTGCGTAATAAAAGAAATAAAGAAAGTTTCAGCAACATTATATGGAAGGCGGTCGACTGACACAGCTGACAACTGTCACAGTGCTGCTGGAACGCTACTGTTCATAAGTGCCACCGCTCCATTCCGCCTTTGCACCCTTATTTTGCAAGAGACCACCGGTCCAGGCCCGCACATTATCTTGATTCACCTAACTGATCGACCTACATTATCAAGATACAACACAGGCAGCATACAGTCCTCGTCATTGCGGACCGGTGGGGCGGGTCAGTGCGGCTGCGTTTGGCGCAGTGCCAAAGTCGTTCTGCACCAGCTATTGAAGCGGGCAAGAGACATCACTGTATTATATCCTTCGTATTACTCGTTTTCTACAACTTTTTGTCGCATACGCGTTTCGACAAAAAGGCTGAGAACGGCTTCAACAGTGTCCACACTCATACTGGCTGACACGGTCCGCAATGATGAGGACTGTACATGGCGAGTTACTGATACCGACTGAGTTGACTAAGCATTTTTGTCGGTTCCTCAGCTGATGTGTGACTTCCGTTGCTCGCCTTTGTTGCGGACCCATAATATATCTGATTTTCCATCAGGAAAAGTCATTCAATGGGAATTACAATAAACTTTTCAATAAACTATTAAGCTCCACCTCGAGAGGACGACTGTTGCTCTGAAGGTTCCATCAACACTCAGAAAAACGCACATAAAACTATTTTTAAGTACTGCATTGGAAACGAAGCCTGGGGCCGGAAGAAGCCGAAAATTGGCTCAGAAACATACGATTAGCGGCGAAGTTACGTAGTTGCGTATGCGTAATTATGTCATCAGCATGTAATTTGCTATGCTAATATCTCGCCAATGTAGGACGATCAAGTACGCCAGCCAAACTATGGGGTACCTGGAGCCGTGCAGTGCAAAATATTGGGAGTCCTGCAAGTCTCCGATAGGTCAAGTTGCCATGTAACCACCGCAAGCGGTGTAGGTCGTGTGGATGGTAATCATGTCCAATAATACTACTATGATCCATTGGTACCTTCTACTCAAATGAATTTCACAATGGCTGGAGAGCGCTATAGGACAAATTTCACACTGGCTGGTGGGCGCTATTGGACAAAACAACTGGATAAGGCTCTGAGTTCTACTTGGATAACTGATACGCTCTGGAACTTTCGCAGGTCAAGTCTTTAAAAAGACAAAACAACAAATAAAACTGATAGAACAGCGGCAAAATGTGACTGGAAGACGTGACTAAGAGACATGATACGCCCCCTAGATAGTGCCCTGCAGGCCATTCGACATACACCCCATCCATGAATGCATACGTCGGGCGAAATCTCGTTAGAACAAAGGAGGAGCTCTGGACGCTAAAGTCAGAAATATGCTTGAAACAACTGACATCTTGAAGTTCCCTCCAGAACAGGGTGCCGCTGGATAAAAAATCAAATATCAAAAATTTTCATTGGACACGACCCCCCCCCCTCCTTTCCTCCAGGAAATAAACTCGACGAACTCCCCTCCCCCACTGGAGATTCGCCTGCGGTCGTGCTATGCTCCAGAATGTTCCAGATTCTGGATGTGGAGGAGAATACATGCGGAAGATCGAACGAACCTTGAAGAATCTTCAAGACAAGCGCAGCAGCCAAGCTCGCTTTCTCCTTTAGAACACTCTCTCCCACCACCCGCAGGCTCACACATACGAATGAGCATGCTCCCCCTTCAATGTGAATATAGTCATTTAGCACGGCCGCTGGAGAGGGAAACAATGGCGCGTAGAAGATACAACGCATACAACCAGAAACCAGTGAGGAAGATGAGCCTCGCGACCTCTTGGTGGTCACCATCAAATCACATGGCTAAGTGTTACATTTGAGCAGGTCATTTTCTGTTCCTGTAACCCCGCCGAAAGGTTCATACATACTCCCTCATGGCAGGAACATCATGATCTCTATATCGTTCGTTATAACTGTCACATATTTAAGCCTAGAAGCTCAATGTCTGACGGAGGTACTATAAGTCGGAAGCTAGCCAATAAAAATTTCGAAGAATACAAGAGCTACAATTAAACGACCCAGCGCTTCTCCCGATAAAGCTCAGAGGTTACAGTACCTCGTTAAAAACACTGATGATAAGAAACCCACCTTGCACAATCCACTTTTTCATTCAGAAGGGCTACCGTAGCATGCCAACTCTGCTTCTCTTCCAGATACTGTCTCCTCTGCTCGCTTTGCTTCATCTAAAGAGGTTGCAACTTTGAATTTCTATAACAGAACTAGGAGCAACTGCACTATACCTGCTCTTCTCTGAGTTGGTTTTCTACTTCCTCTATCTCTGATCGTAAATTGTACACCATTAGTTGAGCAGATTCAAGGTCCGCACGGGCAAGATCTCTAAAATTTCTACTGACGTAACAGAATTTAAAATCAAGTGGGAACTAGATGATGCTTCCCTGAATGCTCTAACAAAATCATAGGAAAGCTTTGTTTCGACTTTTGACATTTTGTGTTCCCTGCTTGCTACCAGTTTTGTGGCCATTCCTTCCGCTAGCGTTCTCCTTCCCACGGAATAACTTTCTCCCGTGACGACAGAAGCACTACTTATTGCACCAAAAACCTTGTCTTTTTACCCTACAGGCACTGGGATCACTTCCCTCTGTTCCTCCCTTTGCTTCTGTATTTTATGTAAACTATATTATGTCTAGTATGTTTGGCTCGAATGACGTTTTCATTTTGGTAGAGGGATATTATTACCTTTCTACTCTCATTTCCTCCAGTTCAGCTTGCAGAGGATGTCCACGGTCAGCAGAATCACTCGTATTTTGCTGAATGGTAGAACGAAAGATTGAAAATTGAAAAAAGTGTAATAAATTGATCCACCTCTGCTTTTAGAGAATCTACCAGTTTCTCTTTCGCTTGCAAAATCTTCTGGGCTTTTTCCTTATACTGATCAAATTCTTTTTTGTTTTCACTGAGATTGAATTTGGCTAGACGAAGCTAAAAAATTTGGTTTAATAAAGGAGTAGTGGAAACAGTTGAAAAGTGTTCACCTGTTCACCCATAGCTCGTACTTCTTCTTCATGAGCCATGCACTTTCTTTTCAATTGAGTGCATTCTTCGAGAAGAACGTCCCGCTGTTCTTGCACCTTTTTCCTAGAATTTTGTTACTTTATGTAAGAAATAAAAAACATTTGGCCTCAACAAGCACACCAAAAAATGGAATTTGACAACTGTGTTCAATAGAAAGACAACTTGCTCAGCAAACACAGTACTACCAATTAATTGCAAGGATCTACTGCCACTGGCGACAGAAGGATTTTGGTGTCTTACCAATCAGAGTACTCGCACGTGTAAGGATTTATCGCGACGTATTCGTACCGAACCGTTGACCGACCGACCGACATAAATACAGTGAAAGGTAGGCTTATATACAGACGAATATGGGCGGTGCTCACCATCTGGACCGATGGTGGCACTTGGAATAAGGATTGGAAGAGCGCACCGCGCCAACGGGAACATAAAGTATTTTCTCGATGACACACTTATGATACCGCTAGGTTGTGCCTGCAGTACAATCTCAAGGGGTGCTTATCTTGCGAGTGCTTATGGTTATTGAGTTCACTACTACGAGCAATGTTGCTAAACATTTCCACTTTCTTTCGTTCTATTTTGAGTTTTTTTGCAATAAATTTTTGGCGCCTCTTTCACTGTTTCATGTTCAGATTTCCACTTTTATTGTCCGCACTTAGAATGACTTTCCAATCTACTCAGTATCGCGATAGCTTTATCGAAGTAACATAGGTGGCTCAGCAGTAGTAAAATTGAGCATGGATCCTAAACAAAAAGTAAGAATTACCGGGACAGCTTGAGTTCTTCGACACTATCAGCGTTTGCCTGCTGCGCTAATCGCTGAGCAATCATATCCTTTTCAGCCATAAGCTCGTAAAACTCATCGCTTCGTTTCGTGAGCTTTCTTTCCAATTCCTGCAAGAAATCGTTCAAAACTTGTCGAACCTTGCTCCTTACCCAAGAGGAGATGTGCTCAAGTACTTGAAAAGAGTGTGAAATGAAACTTCCCAATTCAAAAAATTCATGATGGACTGACCGAAATCTTTGACCTCATTGCAGCAATTTGAGACTCTTTTGCCCATAGCTGAGACTTCATCTGAGAAAGATCAACCGGTTGCTCTGAAAACAACTGTGAACAGATTGCATAAACAGAGCAAAGCTTTCACGAACAAAGACAGTTTCATAAGATAGTAAGAAGAGCCATAAGCCATTCTTCTCTTCTTCTTCTCCCTAGCGTTAGTCCCGCGCCCTCGCAGGGTCCGCTGTTCGTGTTAGACGTCGCCACTTGTTCCGATCCACTGCATCTTCTGCTGTGGCTTTCGCTTCAGTGAGGTCCCTCCTGATGACGTCCCTCCACCCTTTCTTTGGGGCTCTTCGTGGTCGCTTGACATCTACTTTGAATTCCAATGCCTTCCTTATTGGGTGGTCCTAGGCCTTCTCAGCACGTGCCCATACCATCGCAGTCGCTGCTCTCGTGCCTTCAGCTGGATCGGAGCCGTCTATGTGACCGCCCTGACGTCCCCGTTTCTGACTCTGTCGACTCGTTTCCAGCCGATCTCAGCATCCTCATTTCACCTGAGTGGAGCTGCCTTTCATGGTTCTTGCAGATAGGTCAGCACTCAGAGCATTGTAGGCCCCGGTACACCTTGCCTTTGAGCGTTCTCGAGCACCGCTGGTCGCAAGCTATGCCAGTGGACTCCCTCCATTTGATCCACGCTGCGTTGATGAGTGTCTTCACGGTCTAAGCTGCCATCAGCTGCTAGGTCGCTCCCCAGGTACTGGAAGTCCTCCACCCTTTCGTGCTTTCGCCGTGGCGGTCCACGATGGGTTCGGTACATTCTTCAGAGCTCAGGAGCTCGTCTTACGTTCAACCGGAGTCCATTCGCAGGCACATCTTGCCACCGCTGCACCTTGTCCTGGAGTTCTTTCCTGCTGTCCGCTATCATGGCGATATCGTCAGCGTAGACGATGGTTTTCAGTGGTCCCTCCATGAGTTCTTTTGCCATGACATCTAGAGTCAAAAGGAAGAGGAACGGGCTGAGGGCTGTTCTTTGGTGTACCCCAACCGTAATGTTTACCTCTTGTCAAGCCGTAAGGGGTGCGTACAGATGCTTTAGCCCCATCGTACATTTCCTTCTCTATGGAGACCAGGTGCTCCGGAACATTACGCTCCCTGAACGCTCTCCAGATCACAGGGGGTTGAATGCCTTCGTCCAGGAAGGCTAGGCAGGAGGGTCGTCACCTCTCCGGTGCTTCTCCATCAGCTGTCTAGCTATGAAGATAGCATCGGTGGCGTACCTCTCGGGCATGAAGGAACTGTTCTTGCGAAATAGGGACAAGTTCCCTCAGCCTAGTGTTGACCAGGCGCTCGTACAGCTTCATGGTATGGGGAGTCAACTTGATGCCGCGGTAGTTGGAGCACTCCGCCGCGTTCCCTTTCTGTTTGAAAATGGGGACGATTGTGCTGTTCCTCCACGCATTTGGCATCTATCCTACAGCCATAAGCCATTCTGAGAAAGGGAATTTTCTCTCAATCGGACATCACTTTAGCAATCTCACATATTGTTGGAAGAAACAAACAGGAAGCATCACAGAAGAATATATCCGGTCCTTCAGTATCTTAACGACAGTCCAAGAAATACAGGGAATTATGGGTCGAAAGACGTCTTTCAGCGAAAACTGCGCTGATGTGCTAAAGGAAAACGATACGAGCTGCGAGAAATTCACTCCAAGCTCAACTAGCAATATAAAGAGGAAGAGGCTGAGGAAGAAAGCGTAGCAGTGTTGGTGGAAAGACCAGAGACCGGGAGGAGTGCAGGTGAACGCTTCACTCGCAATACTATAAAGGTAATGATTTACTTCCGCGAAAGAGTCGTTGTATCCTGTGTGTGAGTGAAAAGAGACGCACAATGTGACTCCTATTCAAGCGCTGAGTCAGCATAAACAGAAACATGTCAGCATCCTTCAGTCAACATTTCCAAATACATGAAGGTTGATGAATGACACTTTGTCATAGCTTTTTGGCTCGGAACGAAAGGAACTTCTCTGTGCCATTGTCACAAGCCGGCTCGACTCTCTTCACCGTTATCTGTACCACTGTTTATGCAGCCTTATCACGCCGACAGGTATTGGGAGATCCCGCTTTCGGGAGGCGTCAGACTAGGAAGTGCGTCCTTACCACACAGGCGCTGGGATTTATGTTCCTCCATTTAGATAATGCCTGTCCAAGAGCAAGACGTGCACTCTTCATGTTAAGAAAAAAGTTGTGTAGTTGTATAGCGTAAATAGTGCTATACAACTAGTCAACTAGAAAATAGCGCAAATCAGGCATATGTGGCCTGGCCTGTGAGCCTACTGTACTTAACAACAGCTCAGATCAACAAACAAGTAGCTCAAATAGCTCTGAAAGGTGTTTGCAAAGAGGTGGACAATGAAAAGTCACGATCGAATACGGTTTCGTAGAGGATTCTGTACAATCAAACAAATCCACTCGGCCACAAGGTTCACCGAAGTAAGCAATAGTACAAGTCCACTTTGTTGAGACAGTAGCGGTCATTGAAACCCTTGGCAGCTGGTGTAATCCCACTCAACAAGAAAGGTGAACAGGCTGATCCGGCCATTAGCGATGTGATGCGCACCGACGAACGCTTTTGAGTGCGATGAGCTTGAATGCCTTCCAGAAACACGGTTCGGTAGTGTCAAAACTTTTTTTGCAGCGAGCAAGTTGAATCCAGTCGTATCACACTTATTTCTTCGCCAATGATGACGGAATAAATTCAACAACAGAAAACAAAATTGCAAGGACCTACAGTGATTAAGACACATCTGACCAAACAGGAACGGTCAAACTACAGAAAATGAGATAATAATGAAGTGATCTGCACTGTCTTACCTGAAGCTAAGCTTTGCGTTGTCTGAACGGACAACACACTTCGTCCACTTGATCGGCGACTTCGCGTCTCGTCGGCATCGTTATGGACATCGTCGTTGAGCATCGCAATCAATTCGTTATCTCGTCGTTCGCGTTCAGTAACTACAGATGTGGAAGGAACAAAACTGCAATTTTCAGATTCGAACTTCTTTAAAAATTATGCAAATCGAACAGCGACCTCGCAAATAGTGCGAGTACTACCTTTCATGAATTCGCTTTCGCCCAACAGCAGCACTTCCAGCGAATTCGGAATGGGTTCGCGACGGAAGCGATGGTCCACTACGGCCCAGTTCTTCTGTATGAACTTCACTATCGCCTTCCTGGAAATACTGTAGTCTCTGAACAATTTAACTGCTGTAATAAACAGCTATGTAGAAATAGTTGGTCATTAGTGTAAAAGTGTTAAAGAAACCTCGTGCGTGCTCGAAATTTTCCCTCAAACCCCTTGACGTAGGAATGTTGGCGCTATTGAACTATTCCTACACCAGTCTTCCGAAACGAGGCTGGCTTCTTACCGACTTTTCTCTATGAGAGCGAATTGGCTGAAAATTTGCTTACAAGGTTTAGTTCAACCTCCTGAACAAAATATCTCATCCGCCCTGCACGAAATTGCCTGGCGCCCGCGCTAAAACACCCTAAATCACCAAAATCGATGAAAACTTATACACACGTTTATTTGACATCCTGATTCGAATATAACATTTGTACTTGGCGTCGGTGTCAATGTAGGACGCTATGGTCATCTGTGCTCTACCATTGCTTAGCTGGCTTGGGATCACTCCTCCTCTAGGTTTAGCCTTAGCAGAAAGCTAAATGGCGCTTGTGTCAAGAAATAAATGCCATATTCGTGATCATGGCATCACACAGCTCTACTACGCAAGTTTTTATCGATTTTGAAGGAAAAGGTTGCGGCGCCAAATGTCGCCAGCGCCAGAAATGAATGTCATATTCGTGATCAGGACATCAAACAACATCTATAGGCAGAGTTACAGCGAGAAATTTTTTTTAGTGTTTGGGGTAGGAATAGTTCAATAGTGCCGAAAGCTTTGGTAATGTTATGCTCAACATTTTTTTTTCAAAGACTGCACCGCACAAGAAAGTATTAATGAAGTCTATACTCAGGGCCATCACCAGATTGTGGAGCAACTGCCGTTGCAAAATCACCACATTACTCTTGAGGAAAGCAGACTGATTTCCCTAGATGCATCCTCGAGTGTGGTGATCCTTTATCTTGTAAAAATCAATTGACTATTCATCCTAACCAGAGACCAAGGTAAAGCCTCTTTCATTAGTCGGAAAGGTTCTCTCAAGTGGAAGCGGTGGGAAGTACTAGTATAAATCAAAGGAAGAAATATGCTAAAAGTACCTCATTCTTCAAATGAGCAAAGGAACTGCTGCGAGCCGGCCTGGAGGAGTTTGCCCGAGCTTTCTGATTTTGTATAGCTTCGCTGGTGGTCTGGTCAAGGCGATTCAAAAGATCTTCGGCTTTCCCAGCTAGATCGGAAACTTTTGTAATCCATGACATTTATGGATCCTAAAGCACTGCAATGAGTTATAGAGCCAAGCAGTCGCGCACAAGTCGACAACAAACGTGGATTGCTTACAAGGCGACTATTAGAGTGTTTGTCCGTAACGGACACCAAGTTCGCGGATCTGACGCCTGGCACGAGGGCGGGTCCGTGGGCGTTGTTCAGGGGACTAGCCTGCTCTGGTCCGAGCAGTGTGAGAGATTAGGTGAGGAGGGGGAGAGAGAGAGACGAGAGAGAGAGAGCAGAAGAGAGATAGAATGATAGGAGACGAGAAGGATGGGAAAGAAATGTGCTAAAAGCGTATTTGAGCGTACCCGGGCGGATGACGGGCGATTCTGGTCTCAGGCCTTCCGATATTCTTCCCTCGCGGAGTATATGTTCAAATCAGCACACAGATGGTATTGACGGCATACTTAGGAGCAGTATCTAGCAGCCTTGTTCGAGAAACCGTAGAAGAAGCGGAAAATAAAAGTGGATTTCGAGTCATACAAAGCATGAAGTGAATTGATGAAGGTGAAATGTGATTCTATTGCGAGGAAACCGCTTCAATGATTCAATTTCTGGGTTTGATAGTAAGATATTGGATTTCTCTTTGGATTCTGCGGACCATCCAATGTTAACTTAATGGTGTCCACTTTTACGCAGATGGATGGTTACACCTAGGCCGCGAATTATTTCCATTGCAGTTTAGGCAAGAATTCTTCGCAGCCCATTATTTCTCGCACTTTTCAGTCCGCTAATGTTATTCTGCCTTTCAAATACTGGCGCCTTAGGGCGCGTGTTATATTCATGTTGTTGAATCTGGACTTACCTCCTAAATTTGTCGAGTTAGGAACAGGAAGAGGCAGATGATTCATCGCTCGCCGGCACGCCGGCGTTGTCTCCCTCACCCGCCCCCCAAATACGTGAGCACCAAGAAAGGAGGGGAGAGAAGCTCCGCTGTTGACGATATCCCGCGTACCACGATGGCACATCTACCAGTTTGCCCAGGGATCAACCTGTAAGGAGGACTTATCTCTAATAATCCTGTGCCTTGATTACGGGGAGGATACAAGGGCGCTGATTGCTCTTCCCTGTACCCCCCACGACCAACAATAAAGCAGCCCAATTCGTGAAAGTGGGATTTGTGTAGTTCAGATTCTGTTGCGTGAAGCAACCTTCTCCGAGTTCTTCTAGTACACTCCATTTACCAGAGATGGAGAAGTACGTGGCGGAGTACTTCATTCGAACGTGGCAGGCGCGACGTGCGCTTTTGGGAGGACAATGACAGTTTCAGAACAGGAGCAAAATGCTTTGTCCAGTTCAAGATAGGATAACACTTGTATCATCCTACTAATGTAATCGGTTATGTCCGTGTGTGTGTTTGTGTGTTGTGTGTTGTGTGTGTGTGGGTGTGTGTGTGTGTGTGGTGTGTGTGTGTGTATGTGTGTGGTGTGTGTGTGTGTTGTGTGTGTGTGTGTGGTGTGTGTGTGTGGTGTGTGTGTGTTTGTCACGAAATCATAGCACCTCTAAAGAACTTGGAGGGATCGGGTCACGGTGGGAGATGGATAGACGCATGGGACAAAACTAAATAGCACCAAGCCCGCCCACAGTGGGCAGGGCCTGCGTCGAAAGTTAGCGATGTCACTGAAAAAAAGTCATAACTCGGTTCCAGAGCAGTCTCCAGGTGAGGGAACAGTGCAATAAAGTTAAGAAAGGGCTGGCCGACCAAATAGAGGAGACACGCCCGAGATGGGAAGGGCGTCCTTGAGATGGGCGGTGCTCCCCGTGTCACTGAAAAGAAGCTATAACTTGGCTACAAAGCAACCCGGAGACGGGAAAAAGTAGAATAAGCATTGGGTTGGTGGAGCAAATGCAGGAAACACACCTGTGGGCGGGGCGTTCTTGAGATGGGCGGCGCTTTCCATAAAGGTAGGTAACCCGGTTCCTAAAAATGTTTAGAGATCGCAAAAAACTCCATGACGAAGATGAACATCTGGCAAGAGTCGACCATGTTTGCGGCATGCTGAGGCCCGCCCACAGTGGGCGAGGCGTGCATTCGAACACGAGGTACCATTATGAAAAACCGTAGTTTGGTTCTAAAGCACTACAGATGGCGCGAAAAAGTGGAAAAATTATGAAAAAAAAGTGAAGTTAAAGTGAAGCAAAGTGAAGTTATGGCTCCCAAGTGATCACATGCAGGGATGTGCGAGGCACTCCCGTTTTGGGCGGAGCGTGCCCCGAGGTGGTTCGAGCCAAATTCAAAAATTCGCAAAACGCTTCCAGAGCAGTCCAGACACCGGGAAAAACTAGTTTATGATCAACGAGGGGTCCTCAGTTGAGAGGCGCGAGGCATACACTGTGGGCGGAGCGGGCGTTGAGGAGAACGGGGCCAAAGTTAGAAATTCCTCAAGCGGTTCCAGAGAACTCCAGGCACTCCAGACATCCTCTGTGATACAACCCGGCCTTGCGGGCCGTGGCTCCGTCGCGCCTACTGCTTTCGTAAGTCAAAAGCTTTACTGATACCCGGCTTCTTCTCATCTGCCTGCTTGATCAACGCTCCTGTCCACCATTTCATGCACCGTGTAATGTTGAAAATAGCAGGTATGGTGCTATAGCTGAAATAATGCTGATCCGTTCAGATGAAAGAAAAGTCGAATGCTAGACGAGTATTGAAATGTGTGCAAATAGGTAAGCACGGTGGAGCCGCGCCCGCCCGGCGAAGCCGTGCTCTATCTCGGAAGAAGGCGCGTCGGCGTCAGCCGGCAAAGCCGGCTGTTATGAAAATACCCCACGAACAACGCATAATGCGTCATGTTCGAGTAAAGTGCGCACACCATCACTGAAATGTGGAGTGTCTCTAGGGAGCGTACGTGCTCCCTGGGGATGTCGCCAACCAGTGAGTTGACGATATCTCTAGGCTGCAACAAGGCTGCTTCTCCGTAATCTCGGTTACCGGGAAAACTTCTTTCGAGGAGGCCACATGAGTTGTGAAAAATGCACATGACCATCAGAGGATCCTCGAGGAAAAAGTCGCTTGCTCAGCCACAAGCAGAGTGCATGAAAAAGATTCCGCTGTGTTATTGATGGGACTTCAAAGCGCTGTTTCTGCTTACTGGCTCAGCAGTGACGGCCACAGTCTACTGTAAGCTATCCTTGATGGAAAGTGCATCTTATGGATGGTTACAAGACGACAACGCCAGTTCTCACCTGTATACTAGCGCGAAATTCTAGGCATCATGAGGTTGACCACATAGCAAAGGAGTGTCCGCATGGAGCTTACCATTAGAGATAGTCTAGTTCAGGGTCAAAAATACGTCGGAAACCGCGACAGGACATTTGTGCTCGGCCTCTCGGGATTGCGGAGTGGATGATACGTTTGCAAAGAAAGTTGAGTGCATGATGCCGCATTCTATAGAGGTAGGGAGGTGTTGATCAGCGCTGTGCTTCCGTTCCTATTCACAACATGGAAAGAATGTGTTCGGGAATTCTCTCAAATGCTGAAAATGTAGGCTTTATAAGGGAAGATTCTCAGACGCTGCAACTGACCTTCAGAGCGAAATGCTCAACGAGCGAATCTTTGCTGTAGTGAAGCTACAGCAAAGATGTTGTGCTCATTGGAAACAGAAACGATTCTGTTCTATACCGTATAGGTTTTCTCTCTATGTTTGAAGGGAGTTTTGATATTGAAGGTAAAAAAACTCGCGTTTACTAAAAGTTTTCCGCATAACTTTCTGGTCGGAAGCCGTCATGCAAGCTTGACGAAAGCTGTAGTTTATTTCGCATAGACCCTGTCCAAACCACAGAATCGTTCTAACCGCTCTGCGAAAGATTATTTCTGAATAATGTTATGCCCTTTCAAAAAAATACTATGTCCATGCAATCGGTCGATAGCGCTCCAACCTAATAAGGCTGTGTTCACACATGATGCAAAAATGCCGAACCGTGGAATGTGCAGAAGTGCGGAATATACAGATTTGCGGAACTCGCAGAAGAGAGAAAGTAGGTCTATCTATTCCAAAAACCGCGTAATCTGCAGAAATGCCGAAACGACGGACAGCGACTTGATAGGGATCGATCGTCGTCAGGAATGCGGAATCTGCAGAAATGTGCAATTTTGTCATTTCTGCAAAGTCGTCATGTATGAACGCGGCCTAAGCGACGCAGCCGCAGTGCGCTGAAAATTCGTGTTCTTTCACTCTGGCAGCACCATCGTACGGTTTTTTCGTGGCTCCATTTTGTGCATTATACTGCCTCTAAGAAACTAATCTAGTTGAAGTAGTGTGTTGCCTACGAACTGATACTTCTGTGGTCAAATGGATCAGTAACACAATTTATTCTGCAGCAACTAACAATACACAACAGATCAAATTCAAATCACTAAGCTTTAAATCGCCAAGGTGTTCCTTGGGCCTTGACCTGCAATAGAAACAGAGTAGGATACTCACCGAAGTCGACCAATGACTGAGGGGAAGCGGACAGGCTATCAATGGGGGCGGAAGCACGCGCACAACTGAACTGAACTCTCCATGACTAGTCTCTCCATGGCTTGATAAGATATATTATTCATAAGATACGATAGCCTATCTCACTTCCACTAGCTCATTCTAACATGTCCTTTTGGACTGGTTGATGGCCTGTATACCTGCCGGCTATCTTCTCTTTAACACGCCCCCCCCCGTCGCGGAGTCGTCGAAATCGGCGACCGTTTAGGGTCACAGTTTCGAACCCGTTCGCTTTTCTGCGGGTTGCACAGCAATCACAGTGCTGCCGGCACTCTTGTTTATGAGTAGGAACCTGACAAATTTCGATGTCCTACTTTCAACACCTCTACTATGTACTGTATGGACCTGCTGGTCGGGAATTCCTTCTGATACAAGCCTCAACATCCCTGGCTGCCTACGAACCACCTTAATGTCTTGCCCTATTTTCGATGAAACGGAGCTGCTCTTTGGCACACTCGCTTTGGGTCATCCTCTCTAAACAACCGCTACCCTTCAGTTTTCTTCTCTGGGTGTCGGAACATACAGCCGGTTCCCTACCCTTAGATGTTTGTTACCATCAATTTTATCCCTTCTGCCATACATGTCTTTCCTGTACAACCTTTTTAAACTAGTGCTCTGTGCTGCCATCCTATCATGAGGTTTGGCAATCGCTTGATTGCGGCAGGAGCTCGACGACACAGTCACCATCTTGCTATTCCTGCTTTCAGAAGATGCTTTGTCGTCTTTCCTGCGTACTCCGTTTACAGCTAGTTCAATCCCCAACTTCTTCAACGCGTTCGCTCCAATGATAGCCTCTGCTTCCTTGTCCGCACTAATATGGAATGCAATCATCTCGGTGTTCCCACTATCCATTTCAACTTCGATATGAACTGCTCCAACGAAGTCCTTTTTGTTGTTGGAAGCATCAAACACTGGCTTTAGCCTTGACTTCTGCACTACCTTCAAAGTGTCAACATCCCATCCTCGATCTTGTGCTTTCACTAGGACTTTCAACGGAATAATGCTGATCATGGAACCAGTGTCTACAAGGGCTGTACACCGAACAAGAAGCTAAATTCAGTATCACCGCCGCGGTACCGTAACCCAAAGCGGTGCCCAGTTGGTTGTAACTCCGCAGTGGACGTACGTATAACACCGAAGTTTACGCCGGTCCCACTACGGGCATTATGCGGAAATGCTTCTTACAAGGGAATGGTTTGAACTTCCCATGGAACTTTGAATGGAGACCTAGGTATATCGATAGAACTTCGAATTCTGATTAAGAATATGCAGATTAAAAGTGCTACGGGGACCTCCCAGACGAGATCTGGGTGGTCAAATTTTGAGTTCTGGCTCGTAAGCGCTGCTGGTCTGATTACCACGATGCCTTGACAGTGCCACCGTGGCCTCGTGGTAATGGTCTCGCTTTCAAGTCAAACGCATGCGGGTTTGCATCCGGTTGGCGCGAAAATTTTTGCTTCGCTCCGCGTAAGAGCTTCAACAATTTTCGAAATTCTTCCGAATTTACGGCCCAGCAGGGCAAGTAGATCAAGTACATCAAGTATACGCCATACTCGACCTAGTATGGATTTGGTCATATCTGCCCTCTCTGAACATATTAACCATCCGACAATTCAAAGCTTCAGCGAGAAATTCGTTCATGGGAGATTTCGACCCCCTGGACACTAATATCACTTCCTTTGACGAAAAAACGCTCGTCTTGCCAAATTGCGATTCTGGGCAAAGCTTTGAATTGTCGGATGGTAATATGTTCAGAGAGTGCAGATATGACCAAATCCATACTAGTAGATGGAGTACGTATACTTGATGTACTTAGTCTACCCTTGCCCCCCCCAACTGCCGGCCGAAATTCGCGGAAATATATTCAATTAAGAGTTAAAGACTCTTATACGGAGCAAAGCGAAAATTGTCGCGCCAGTCGGGTGCAAACCCGCATGCCTTCCACTTGAAAGCGAGATCATTACCACGAGGCCACGGTGACACTGTCGAGGCATCGATTAGCAGCGCTTACGAGCCAGAACCCAAATTATGACCACCCAGGTCTCTTCTGGGAGGTCCCCGTAGCACTTTCAATCTGCATATTCGTAATCAGCATTCGAGGCTCTATCGATGAACCTAGGTCTCCATTCAAAGTTCCATAGGAAGTTCAGACCATTCCCTTGTTAGACTGCAGCGTTCGAGGGTGGACGGGAATTTAGTGCACATTTCGCTTATGAATTCTTTTTCTCGATATAGAGGCTCTGTACATGCGCAGCGTAAGGGAATTCATACCGCTCGCAACGCATCATTATGTATTTGCATTTGGAGAATAAATACATGAATATAAAGAGCCGAAATACTTTATTTACTACAGACCGGAGAATTATTTTACACTGCAAGTGTTTACAACTTATTCCATGTAATTTCACTGCATGCATAGTGTTGCAGAAGCGAAAGACGCCGCTATAACAAGTAGGCGTAAAAAGTAGTGATCTGATCACTGACGTGGCATTTTTCGTGACGGTATCATTTGGCGCCATTTGAGGCATCTATCAGTCCAGTAGTTGGAGGGAGAAGGTAAAGGAGGAGGGATCAGAGAAGGAAGGAAGGAAAAGGAGGGAGGAAGAAAAAAGGAAAGAGAGGAGTGGCTTTTCGATGAGAAATGCCCTGAGACGTTCGGACTGAGTTCTGGTGCAGCTAAAGTTCGGACACACTTCGCTACAGATCGGTAGTTAGATTGAAGAGGTAATCCTCGGTCCCGAATATAAGCACGACTTGTTTATTAGTTCTGAAAAGAAACTTTAGGCTAGGATCGTGACTGGCAGTAGCAGTATACTCTTGTAGACAACGTTTGTGGTGACAAGTTTTTTGACATAATTTACCGTCATGTTTTGGCGGTGTTACAGAGGAACTGTGCACAGCAGTTTGTCTCAATTTGGCTCTCTAATTTCCACAGTAATGTTTGTTTACTTCGGAGGATGGTTTCATAAGTTGTAACTAAATTTGGGATAAAAATCATTCCCAGGTTGAAAAATCGTAGTTGTGAATGCGACCAACTACATGGTACCACCTATTCCACCTTTCACGGCGATGAGGCTAATAAGTCGACCGTAGTACCACATCAATTTATTGTTTACTACAGCGACCTTGGAAAGCCGTGTCTATCCTACTTTGGTTGGCATCAAGCGTGCAGCACCGTCAAAGTGCTTGAAGCAATGGTAATAGAAAGATAGATCAGGTCTATCCTCACATCGAAATCCTCATAACGACATCCCAAATACACATCCTTTTTTCCACTTACAAAAGGAAATATCGGCATATTTTCAAGGTCCTTGCTGACGTTTTTAACGTGCCTAGGACAGACTTCCAACTTAAAGGGCGCCGCTTTGTGTTACGGTACCGTGGCGGTAATATGAAGTTAGCTTTTTGTTGCTACACCGATCTCCAAGAAGCCTCATAGGGACCATTATCCGTTTGCCAATGAGATCGCTCTTTTCCGATCTCCTCTTTTGTATATTGACTCCCATGCTATGGTTTTGCTTAATGATAGATGACACCTTTGTTTCTCCATTCTCCAAAGGGAATTTCTTTCGATCCCTATGGTTAACATTTTCCATTCGGGATGGGCATTCACGTGCTATGTGTCCTTGTTTTGAGCAACGGTAGCACTTCCTCCCTTGTACTGCTTCACCATATTTCGGTTCTTGCGTTGCAGAATCCCTGCCTCCGATAGTTGCTTTCCTAGCTTCACCCGAATGAACAGTTTTCGCATTGTGCTGTATTTGCATCTCGTTTTCTTGGTGATTGAATGGTCTCGTTATCGGCTTCTGCCATATCTGTGTCCTTTCTTCCTTGCCGTGCTACTGAGCATATCTGTTTCTCCACGCTAATAGCTTGTCTTTGTTAACTTCTAGCATTATTTTTGATTGTTCTATACTGATAGCCAACTGTTTTACTTCTTCGTATGCCTTTTCAGGCTCCAGTCGGTGAAGCGCACTCTCCAACTGGAAGTGTTCGAGCTAGCCCCTCAGGTTGTCTAAAAGTATTTGAGCATAATCCATGGACCTGTCTTCTAGTGAGCTTTCTGGATTTGCTTGTTTGCCTTTTTTCTCGAGAACTACGCAAAACTCTGCCACTTCTTGACCCGGTCTCATTATCAAGTTTCTCAATTTGGTTAATGCTCCCATTCTGCCAGCTGTGGAGTCGCATGCTAACAATTTCGCCATTTCTTGCATTACTACATCGAAGCCTTCTCTTTTATCACGCGCGGAAATGATTCGAACACATTTTTAGCTCGCCCAGCTAAATGCTCGTCCGCTAGAATATCAATTAGCGTTTCTTCGCTTTTAATTACGCTCTCAAATTTTCGCTTGAATTTTCTTAGAAATTCGTTGAAGTTTTCGCTTTTCGACCCTTTGAATACTCCCGGATCAGCACATGTCATGACCCTGTAGTGATTGCAGTATCACTGAGTATTGCAGCCGGTAGAGTGTGCTTTTATCTGTACTTTTATCCTATACGCTGCCACGCGGGTCTTCGGAACGTTTATTGCTACTGCTTGCGGTAGACCAACAACAAAAGGTGAAGTCAACCTTACCGCGGCAGTCTTTTATACTGCCGCGATGACAATAAACAAGCGAAGTAAACAAGACAGTTCATTTTCACAGTATCACGTGCTGGAAATGGTTATAGAGTCTTCTCTATACTCCCCCGCCACAGGAAGTTCTTGACATTCTTGTCGTCAAAATCGCTCGATCTTCTGCTTCTTTCTTGTTCTTTTGTAATTTGGAACGGGATATAATGCAAACATTCTTCAGTTCTTCGTCCTCTTGTGGTTGTGAAGTGAGTTGCAAAGTGATCTTCAGACTTTCATTTTCCCAAGTATCTGGTTCATGTCATTGGTGTATTCTTCTTCTATCATAGTTCTTTCAACGGTACGCGTCAGGGTAACCTCTGTGGTTTTCTCAGGTACTGTGCTTGTTGACGATCTTGAATCTGACGGTTCACTTTTCTTCGCAGCTTCATCTTCTTGATTTGATGTAGGTTTGTTGACAGTATCACCCGTAGTATATGATTTTGATTTTCAATCAGTTGTACACATTCCATCTGATGTTGGTGAAGATTCGAATCCTGTACTGTATCTCTCCTCCGGCTTCCGCGATGGCTTGAAATTTGTGGTACACTCTTTGCTCGTTACGAGTGTAGATGTTGACGCATTCTGAGATTCTCCATCCGGTGCTTTGAAAGATATTTTGGAGTCGAGAGATTTGTCGCAAGGGTGATCGAAAACTTTGGTTTGGTCGATGAACGAGGAAGGGGTAAGGGTGAGAGGGGCTGGAATGCTGGGTAGAAAGGTCTTGGGGAGGTGGGATAGGGAACAGTTAATGTTCGCTGCAGAGGTATCTCTTTGGTGTGGACGAGGTCGCAGACTGTATCGGGGTTTGGGTAGGGGTGTGTTTGTATGTGCTTCTTTTCCTTCCGGGGAACTCGTATCTTCTAGTTCCAGTGGAATGAGCAAGTTCACTGGTCTGCGAGTTGTACGTTCGTTCGGCATTTTGATTTCCAAATCTCTAATGACGTCATTTGAGGAGTAGTGAACTTTTACAATTCTGCCCATTTTCCAAGTGTTTCGTGGTAGCAAGGGTTCGGTAATCAGCACGACGTCACCAACGGATGGCGTTTTCGGAGTACTGCGTTGATTGATTTGAAGTTTGTGTGATTCTCGCAAAGTTGTTAGGTATTGTTGGCTCCAAATTTTCCAGAATTGCTCAATCAGTTCATGGCTTGTTTTAAGCGCTTCTTCCGCTTGCTGTCTTGTGTATAGTATTACGGTTCCTTCTGCTGGAAGACAATCTGGGTCTGTTTTATCCATTCCAACGGATTCAAAAGGATACGTTATGACCATATCGCGCTGTATAAAATCCATTGGTCGTAGAGCGGGTGTTTCATCCCATTTCTCTTCTTGATAGGTTAAAGGCCTGGTGTTGATGCAACCTTCGATTTCCACCAGGAGCGTTTCGAGAGTTTTCTCATCTGGAACCTTCCGTTGCATGACTTTGTAGAGGCTGTGTTTGATGGACTTAATCGTACGTTCGTAGAGACCTCTCTGCCACGGAGCGTACGGTATGATTGTTTTCCACTCGATTCCCTTGGTTGTCACTGATTGCATGAACGAAACATTGTTTGTTGTAGGAATAACCAGGTCGCGAAGAATTTGTTCAGCCAAGAGAAAGTTGGATCCATTATCTGATGTTATGCTAGCTGGAATTCCACGGCGAGCAAAGAATCGGCGTAGTGGCATTAGTAGGTGGGGGTACTCATGTCTGGCACCTGTTCCAGGTGAATCGGACGTGTCGTTGCGCACGTCAGAATTATTCCGTAGGCTTTCGCGGCTTCTTCGTTTCTTCTGATCGACAGCGGTCCGAAGTAGTCTATTCCAGTGCGTTCGAATGGTCGTGATCTGTGCACTCGCTGCTCAGGAAGACTGTCCATTTCTGGGTATCGAAACGGAAGATTGTTCATCTTCTGGCAGGGTGCACACCCAGTTATGATTGAACGAACCATCTGTCTGAGTTTCGGGATCCAAAAATGTTGTCTCACATTTGCTATGGTGTGTGAAATACCGCAGTGCAAAGGTGAGTGTGCATTTAATAGGATTAATCGAGCGAGGCCGGTCTTACTGGCAATGATGCAGGGATGTTTTGCGCTTGGAGATAGGTTAGCATTTCCCAATCGTCCTTTGCATCGAAGGATTCCTTGTTGGTTTTCTCTAATTTTCAGTTGTTTCAAAGATATTTGTCTTTCTTTAGGGAAATGAACTTTTTGGTGGTTCCGAATAAGAACTCTCAGAGCTGTCTTCATTTCTGTAGCAGTTATGTGTGTCGATGACTCTGCGCATTGCAGATCAGGAATGCTGTTCTCTATTTTCTTTCTGAGATTGTCGTTCACTTGAGTAAGTAATCATTTCAGGAAACGTAAGATGCTAGCACTCTTTGACTTTTTTGAAGGTCATTGTGTCTCTTCCAATCCAGTAGTTCGGATACTGCATGAGTTGTTCCAGCACTCAGTATGCGAGCATTTTCGATCTTATCGTTTGACGGTGGCTTGAATAATTTGCACTCATGAGGCCATTGTTCTAGTGGGGATAAGATATAGGAAGGTCCAGTCCACCGCAAATGATTTTCAAAGTTTGAGTTCTTCAGTCCTCGTGTCGCACAGCTGGGTTATCATTTGTTCTCATATAGCCGAAGTGAACTGGAGGGACAATTTGAGAAACGATTCGTTGAATCTCACGAACTCGATTTCGTACTAGCACTCCCGTGGATGGATTAAGTTGGTGTGATGAGATCCAGCTTAGAGCACTTTCTGAATCGAACAAAACGGCTAGTTTCTCTATATTTAAGCGTTCCTTTACTGCCTCGTATATGAAAAACATCATTCGTACTGCCATTGTCATTGCATTCAGTTCCATCTTTGGGATTGTGGGTATTTCTTTCATCGACGGCAGTTTGGATTTTCCTGTTACGAGAGCTGCTCCTTTTTCCGATGTGATGTATATGTAGCCATACCAATGCTGCTAGTGTCGGAAAAACTATAAATTTCACACTCCCGTTGATTTGTGCAATTCTTCTGTTGAGTTTCCGCTGGAAGCCATCAACTTTTTGTAGAATTTCTTTCCACTGCTGTTGATGCTTCTGAGAAATGGCTTCACCCCAGCTGTAGTCGCTTTTCCATAGATGTTGCAAAAATCGCTTTCCGTGAAGTGTGATTGGCGTCATCCATCCGAGTGGATCGTAGATGGAGGCTATCTGTTCAGAGACAGATCGTTTTGTGATTTTTTCCTTGGAGGGATATTTGCAAGTAATAATTAGCTCGTCGTCATTCGTATTCCACAGTATCCCTAGGATTTTTTGAGTAGGGATTTCGCTCAGATCTTTCCTTTCTATATAATGTTTTAGTTTGTCACCAAGCATTGTGCCGACACGAGATTCGAAGAACTCAAACTTGAAAATTCATTTGTGTGGACTGGACCTTCCTATATCTTATCCCCACTAGAACAATGGCCTCATGAGTGCAATTATTCAAGCCCGTCAAACGATGAGATCGAAAATGCTCGCATACTGAGTGCTGGACCAACTCATGCAGTATCCGAACTACTGGATTGGAAGAGACACAATGACCTTCAAAAAGTCAAAGAGTGCTAGCATCTTACGTTTCTGAAATGATTACTACACTCAAGTGAACGACAATCTCAGAAAGAAAATAGAGAACAGCATTCCTGATCTGCAATGCGCAGAGTCATCGACACACATAACTGCTACAGAAATGAAGACAGCTCTGAGAGTTCTTATTCGGAAACACCCAAAGGGTTCATTTCCCTAAAGAAAGACAAATATCTTTGAAACAACTGAAAATAAAGAAAACCAACAAGGAATCCTTCGATGCAAAGGACGATTGGGAAATGCTAACCTATCTCCAAGCGCAAAACATCCCTGCATCATTGCCAGTAAGACCGGCCTCGCTCGATTAATCCTATTAAATGCACACTCACCTTTGCACTGCGGTATTTCACACACCATAGCAAATGTGAGCAACACATTTTGATCC